CCTCCTGGAACAGGGACCTCTGGCTGACTAGATTTACCAGAAGGACAGACAGGGGGAATGGATGAGGGTGCTGACAACACAGTGGACAGTGACAGGGATGGCAGAGTATGGAGCCTCTAGTGGGAGAGGAAGGCTGTCTATCTGACGAGTTTGTACTCATGCTCAGATGCCGAGGAGCTCAGAAGGTGGGCGACTGTGACCAGTGATAGTCATGTTTATAGAGATTAGAAATGCATGTGAAAATGTCTCAATGTCAATAGGCTTGGAATGAATTTTTCTGTATGAAACTGTGTATTTTAATAATGAAATGGAGATCTTTTTAAAAGTTTAAAACCTCATTTAATTTTATGTCTTATAGGGGTTATACTGAGTACAATATTGTATAACTGTATCTTTTCAACTGTAAACCTAAAAATTTACAGCCAATTTTGGAAAGAGATGCATCTTAGCTCTGAAAATTGTTATTGAATATGTCAATGCTGTTGTAATGAAATGCTTCTTCTAATTATGTGGTTATTAAATAAATAATTAAATATAATTTGTTATTTTTATCTTATGTGTATGAGAGTTTTGCCTGCATGTATGTGAGTGCAATGCCACATAGGGTGAGAAGAGGGTGTCAGATTTCCTGGAGTTTAGGAGGTTGTACCTGCTGTGTGGGTGTTGGGAATCAAACCTGGGTCCTCTGGTTATAGTTCTCTTAACCACTGAGCCATCTCTCAGGCCTGAGGTCGAGGTTTTTGTTTTTTTGTTTTTAAGGAAGGAAAGAGTTACTTTGGCTCATGGGTTCAAAGGGTTCAGTCCAGGGTTGCTTGGCCTCATACACTTTGGTGGCGAGAAAGCCTGTGGTGGAGGATGGACTTCACCTCAGAGCGGACAGGTAGCAGAGAGGACGGCAAAGATATTTTGAATGTTGATGTTAAACAAACCACCCAGGAGGCTGGAGAGAAGGCTCAGTGGTTAAGAGCACTGGGTGCTTTACAGGGGACCCAGGTTCAGTTCCTAGTGCTTATATGGCAACTAACAACCATTGTTGACTCCAGTTCCAAGGGATCTGATGCCCTCTTCTGGTCTCCATGGGCACTGCACAACAAGGGTACACATATATGCAGGCAAAATACTCATACACATATAATTAAAATAAAAATTAAAAAAAAAAACCCAAAATTACTAACTTCCCTGCTAGGTTAAAGAGGAGGAATGAAAGAAGCAACATATATTCCTGAGACTTCCAGTCAATGAGGAAGACAAATGAGCCATCACCAGCCCCAGAGAGATGGTTGGAGTCACGGGGCATGAGAGTGGGCTGCTAACCCAGGCTAGAATCAGAGAGACTTCCTGGACCCTTTGTATTTAGGGACCAGGAAGAATTAGCTGGATGAGGAAGGAGAGAATAAAACTTCAGGGAGAGGAAACAGAAAAGCAGAGTTTTGAGGAAAAAAAGGACATGGCCAATGAGAGTTTGAATGCAAGCGTTATGGCTAATGACTGTTGTACAGCATCTGAAAAGATGGGCAAACATAGCTAGAAGAGGTCATGATAAAAGAACATTCAAACTACAGGAGGGCTGGAGAGGACAGGTGGAAAAGTCATACCCACAGTCATACCCATAGATCATTCTGATGATCTAGGGGCTAGAGGAACCCCAGAAAGAGGAGTAGGCTACAGATGTGGAAGGTCAGACATGTTAATACTATGTGGGATGGGTGCCTGCAGGGCAGGTAGGATGAATTCTTGAGGTGGGTGTTCCCTCAGGTGTGGAGCTCAGGGGCTAGCCCTGGCTGGAGGTACAGATCTAGGAGGCTGAGCAGCAGAACCCCAGGAGGAAGGGCATTACGGTGTGGTGAAAGGAGGGGGCAGGTGGAGTCTGAAGAGCAGGTAGGAAGGTGGGTGACCAGAGCTTCACAGGGGAGAGGTTGTAAAGACAGCAGGAGAGCACAGCAGCCAGGAAGGAGCAGAACAAGCACTTGTCCCTTGGGTACCTGGGAAGGCAGTCTCTTCAGAGATGGGAGGGTTCGGAGTGTCAGGCCCAGAGAGAATGGGGGCACAGGGAGAACTAGGAACAGCGTGGGCAAGGTGGGCAAGCATATGAGACATAATAGCAGGAGTGATAAAACATTAAAAGCATGGTTGTCATAAGATGATAGCAAGAATGATAGCTAGTGTTTCTACACTGTACTAGTCTCAGCCTTAGCTACAATACCTAGTTTCATCCCCTCAGCAGTCCTTGCAAGTAGGTACTATTCCTGTGTGTGTGTGTGTGTGTGTGTGTGTGTGTGTGTGTGTCTATGTATGTGGGTGTTTAGAGGCCAGAGACTGACATCATGCATCTTTCTCAATTTGCTTCACCTTTAAAAAAAAAAAGTGTGCAGCTGTGTGATGTATAGGTGGGCGTGCTCATGCATGTTTGAGGACCTTGTGTGTGGAGGCCAGAGGACAACTTTGTAGAGTTGGTTCACTCCCTCCACCTTTATGTGGGTTCTAGGGATTGATGTTAGGTTGGCTGTCTATTACTTCTGCTAAGCTAAGAAGAAAATGTAATCTCATCCTGGATCTTCCATTTGATTCTATCTTACATAGACTTTATTGAGTCTTCCAAACCCTCACACAGGCCTCTTCTCAGGTTTTTGCATCAGTGGGTACACCCGTTATATCTTGACACAACAAAGAATGCCTTTACACATCTCTTGAAATGTCACTTGAAATTCTGCTGTTGCTTCTAGGTGAAGCTTTTGCAATTATTTCTGAAACTGATTATCAATATTCTATAAAACGAGATAAAACAACTGCCTTCCCAGGGTCCATCTGTTACAGATGAGGTCTCATGTGGCCCTGTATGTTTTATGATTTTCCCTCTTAAAGCTGTGAAAGTACCATGTATGCAGATTTGTCAGAAAAACCATACTTTGTTTTTATAGAGTCTCTCCAACAAGTATTTTAACTTTTTTTGCTAACAGTGTTTAAATTGTGCAAGGATAGATTGTCTTTTGTATAAACTATAAAATTTAGTTCTAAGAATTACCTCCTATCTCCATAATGATTGGCACATAATAGATACAGAGACTTTAATTTTTAATGTAACTTGTAATTTCAAAAGCAAACATCTTAGCACTAGGTTAGAAGGTTGGTGTTTTACATGTCCAGATCTGCAAAGTAAAAAAATCATACTTGAGCTGGCTATGGTGACTCACACCTGTGATCCTAGTACTATAGAGGCTGAGTCAGGGGGATTGGGAATCTGAGGAATCTTGGCTATATAGAGCTTGAAGTTAGCCTGGGCAGCATAGCAAGACCCTGCCTCAAAAAACTTTACGCGTTTAGAGAAAATCAGATGCACTCCTTCTCCATGCCATGTAGCAATTAGTTTCCACTATCTTTGCTTTGTTTTCACATAATTTCTGTAGGTGCTGGTTCACTAGATCCTTTATTCATGTCTACTTAGTCCCCATCAAGTCCTGAATGATGTGTATCAGTCTTGGGGTAAGGACAGGGTCGACTAACTCAGGTCTCTGTTGCCTCGCTTCTGCAGACTCTGAGGTCAGAAAGATGAAAGGTCTTTTCCCTCTGTGCCACAACTCCTAAGGCAGAGCCTGCAAGGGAGATAATGTAGGCAGGAGCTGGTGCTTCCTGACTAGAAGGGACACAGTGCTTTGTGAATGAAGTCCCAGTCCAGCAAGCAACCTAAAGAGCCCAGCAAGGAAGGGATAAACACCTTTTATATCAAATCCAACTCTATTGCTGTCTGGAAAAGGTTCATTACTTCTTATTCTTGGAAGGGTACATTTCTTTCTTGTGCGTCACTTACTATTATTATATTCTTACATTTTTTCTAGTTTTTAGTTGGGATTTTGGCCTTACTGAGTAGACTACTATCACTAAACCTTCCAGAAACCCGGGACAAACTGCTGACATCTTCTTGGGAGAAAACTGAAGAGACGGGGCCAGAAAAAACCAGCAGTTCAAACATATCCCTTCCTGGAGTCAGCAATTCTGATTTGGGAAAAATGAAAGTGATTAACCTTGAGGAATCTTATGGTGATTAATAAATATGCTGTATGTGGATGTGTTCACATCCATGCCTTTCTGCTAGAGGGATATTATTTTCACCTCCCATGGTACTTATGTATCTTCCTAAAAACTTTATAAGGAAGTTTTAAACAATTGTTTTGTAAAAGTAAATAAATAAAAACCAAGATGAGAATACTGGTTCTTTTTTATTTTAAAAATGTATTATTTATTCTTATTATTTTATGAGTGTGTTGCCTGTGTGTATGTAAGTGAGCCTGTGCTGTGCAATGCCCAGAGAGGTCAGAAGAGGACATCAGATGCTCTGGAACTGGGGTTATGGATGGTGGTTAGGCACCATGTGGGTGCTAGGAACCAAACCCACGTCCTCTGCAAGAGTAACCAGTGCTCTTAACCACTGAGCCATCTCTCCAACCCCAGAATGCGGATTCTTAAGCTTCTTATTGTTATAAATATTTTTCCACATTTGCTTTTCCTTGTCATTAATTCCCAACTCTCTAACCATGCCACTGCACAGATGTGAGAGAGAGTTCAGAGATTAAGAACATTTGCTGCTCTTTCAGAGGAGTGGGGTATGGTTCCTAGTACCCACACTGGGTGGCCCACAACTGCCTATAACTTGATTGTCCAGGATCTGACATCTGATCTTGTGGCCTTAGTGGCACTGTACTCACGCACATACCCCCTCCATACATACAGATAATTAAAAAATGGATCTTTTTTTTTTTTTTTTTACAACGGGTCACCCTTATCCCCGCTTTTCCCTG